TTATCAACTTATGACGATCCTTGATGGAGAATGATATTTGATATATAATTTAATGACAACAATATTATATAATGAATTGTTAATTTTCTAATTATTGTGTGCTTTTCTCATAATTTTCCTTTTTGTCTGACGATCTCAATATAATTTCTTATACTTTGACATGTAGTGCAATTTATACTGTAATGTTATATTTGAGAAATAAATGAATCTGAATCTGAATCTGAATCTATGGAATAAATAATCTTTGACTTTGACTTTGACTTTGACTTTGACTCTATAATATAAGCTAACTCTTTAGCTTCTGGATTACCGGCACTTGATAGTGTAAGGGGTGCCGCGGGCCAGTCTCTTTTTTTAAGAGGGAACTAGCCACGTCTCTGCGGACGTCCGGAGGGGCAACACCAACCAGCGCATACAGCATACCAACAGCAGTTGGTTTCAAATAGTCCGTAATGATTGATGATATGTCATTTAGTGCTGTGTCCACCAGGTGCGTGTGTGCTGCTCCAAACTGGGCTAGCATATTGAGCTGCCGAAAAGGAAAGGGCTAGTCCGGTCGTTCGCAAAGTTTGTGGCGAAGCTCCCCACTTGGAAGATGTAATATCCGAGAAATGACTCGGACTTCATGCACAAGCGACATCCGAAGAGGGTCCGAGTTTTCTAGATTTGTATAGTCTCGGATACGGAACGACTACGAATAGGATGCAACGCGCAAACGCGCTAACGGTGGCAATTAGCCGCTCACGCGATGCGCTCCTCCTACCGCAAAATGGCGGCTATTTGGTTTCGCAAATTAGACAAGCATTCAGTTTAAATACAAGTTTTTATAAATAAAAATTATTATTCTGCATTGCTAAATAAATACCCATCTCATTTCAAATAAAATGCAGTAATACACCGCAAATCCTGCACTTAAAAAGCAGTAAAGAAATTTTTGGTGTACTTGGATAAATATGATAATATTCCGTTTGAGTGGTTCTAACGTTTACCATGAAAACAAACTGACATGAAATGAAACTATTTTTCCGGATTTAAATCGCGTATATTTGTTTTTTCAATCAAACCGACGTCTCGGGCCCTTTACAGGTCACATGGTCACGGTTGACTGAAACGGTTTGTTTGAAAAAACAAATATACGCGATTTAAATCCGGAAAAATAGTTTCATTTCCTATGTGTAACAATCGCGAAAACCTAAGAACTCGAATTGTTTATTTTTTTTTAAATGACAGACCCAGGCATTAAAAACTTTATGGTTTGCTAGAGTAGTTACCGAAATAGCAATTAATATTAGTTCTTTTACCTGTTACAACTTCGATATCCGATAAATCGGTATAAAATCATCACCGGCATCTCTAGGTGTGGTATGCGTCTACGGCTGCATGTATCGCGTGAGCGGATAAGGAGAAAAATCCGGTTTATTACATTTCACCAACTTTCCGTTAACAAGTCCCATGTGCCGTGGATGTAACGAACACAGCGAAAGCGGACAAGCGAACTTTTGAGGTCGACTTTTTTTCTTTAACTAAAATCTACTCTCGTCAGAATCGCCTCCCAAAGTAGGGAGTTTAAATCACTGCCACTTTAGAAGTGGAGGAAATGTACCGTTTCAAATATTTGTTTCCATTTCGTTTCAGCGGATGTGTTTATTGACCGTGAAATAAAAAATGGCGTCTAATTTATTGTTTGTTTTCCTACTGTAACCAGTTAACTAATCTACGTAAAGTGACTAGTTTATTTATGAATATACAAAAGTTTGCTCCTGTGAAAGTGTTTGTTGAGGAAAACTTCGTAATTCTGCCACCAAGCAGTAATATAAACATTACTGTGTTTCTGGTTTGAAGGATTAGGGTGCTGGCGATTGGCGATGTAGTTAAAAAAGATCAGGTTAAGAGTATCAAGATTGAACAGTCATATGTTAGGTCAATTACTCTTTAATTCTACATTTAAAATCCCTTTCAAACTGCCATCAAAATGCAATAAACCCTGTTTATCTTTCTTTTTATAATATCTAACTTTACACGTAATTTTTGTACGGAGATATTTCTACACTACAGAGAACCTGTATTGTGGTTTTCAACTGAAGCCCTATAGTTATTAAATTCACATTCATATTAAAAATTTAAAGACACACCGCGCTGCCCGCTGCGTCGTCAGTCGCCACGTCGGGTCTGTGTCAAATTTTCTACGCCTGTTCTTATATTACTAACCGACTTCAAACAAGGAGACGGTTATACGTTCTGCTGTATGTATGTTCTCAGATATCTCCGTCAATTGTAGACCGATTTTGAAAATTTATTTTTTTTTTTATTTCAAAAAGTATACTATCGAGGTGGTCGCTGATGCTGTTCTGGGTTTGTTTGGGCTATCACAAATTATTTATTATTTTCCGCAAATAATCGACTTTTCACTTGACACAGTACATGTAATCAACAAATCACCGTCATTATGACAACCAGAAAAGAAAATATAAAAAGTACAAACGAGTCCGTAATTTTTAATTAAAATACCCCATTGTCACCAAGAAGTCAGAATCAGATGAGGGGATCCCATGGAAATCAAAAAAGGCGATAGGCAAACTTTTAAGATCGAGTTTTTTTTCAACAAAAAAGAACCGTCCCCCAGACCTCACAAATCTAGGGTCGCTTTGAAATACTTGGCCTCTTAAACAATAGAGAACCGAAAGGGAAAGATGTTTGGGCATCAGATACGTTACCGCAATTTTCTTAGAAACTTCATTCAAGGAAATATGAGATCTTTTCGTTCTGACACAGATATGGTAACCCTATATTTCCTACTAATGTTTGTATATATTGGAATGTTATCAGTGATTAATTCGGTATGGTGTTGTGGCCTTCGTACAACACTTAATTTATCTAATTTATTATATTTGTAATCATGGTAAACTGTCTGCTTCCTGTTGTTATGTTGCGATATGCTGATTGGCAAAAGATTTCTATTGATATCGGTAACGTAAGCATCGTTTTTAGTCTAAGCAAGATGCCGCTAGATGGAGTTGAACCGTTTTTGGGAATTTTTAACCTGCAACGCCAAAAAAGGGCAGTTTGAAGCCTTTGTCTGTATGTCTGTAGCTTCCTAATGACTGACCTCAATTTTTTTAATTTAAGGAATGATTCATAGCTAGGCTTAGCAGATGCTAAGCTATTTAAAGGTTTATCAGTTCTTTTTCCATACTGTACTATTAAATTCGGAATACTTATAATCACCCTATATTTCACATTCCTCAATGAAGATCGAGAATCGCATGTTATATTCATCACTACGAATATGCTTACATTAGTTTACGGCTTGAGACAAGTCGTGCGTCTGGTGGTCAGCGACATGCCTACCCACAACAGTTGCAGTGCCACTCAGAGCTTTAAATCCCAAAGATATACGCCTGTCACCTTGAGACATAAGTTGTGTAAGTGCCTGTAATTTTACCAGCACCCTTACCCTTCTAAACCGGAATGCAGTAACGCTCACATCTACTTGATGGCAGAAATAGGTAAGGTGACAGTACTTCCCTGGACGAACTCTGTCACAAGGAGCTCTACTAAGTGTTTATAAAGAAAGTATTCTTGCAGTAGGGATCTCATAGTCATAACATGAATGTATATTTACTTCCAATTCCAATTGGTTGATCGACTTGAAATTTTTTATCTGATGCTGCAACGAGGACGTTCTTCAGAGTACCCAACGCATTGAATTGGTCCCGAAGAGTAGTTGGTCTACAAACAGTGACCAGGAACCACTGAGCAGGAAGATGGACAAAGGAACTCATTATTATCAAAGGTAGACCCATCGAGTTTTGTTATAAATGCATTGGTCTAGGAAAAAATTATATTTAACACGTTCCCTATGTAACCGGAAGTCAGAAATTGACCAAGTGCAATTTCTTTTATTTTGAAAATACGTTGGGATTCGTATATATTAACACATTTATGAATTGAAAACCATTTCTATAAACCCCCTTCTCATTTTCTCAATTTTCATACACACAACATGTGATACACGCACGTATCTTTAATTATTTAACCCGGCCTTTAAATTTTTGATTGTTGGGTTTTTTTACTTTGCTTGATTGTCCTTGTGTGTCCGTTTTTATTATCATGTGCGATATATGCAAGTCAATAATAAACTTGTAACTTGTAGTAAAAAATAATAATAATTTTTTTGTGTTTTATTCAGACCATTTGAACATTGGCTAAAAAGTCGTCCATTACCACATGCTATTGTCACAATTTTCGTAGTCCATCCGTGCAAGTAAATGAAGATGATCTTGCTTACTCTTGTAAATGTTGTTTGTGATACACTCGAGCATCGTTTTCACGTTCAAGTTTCGTTTCGTGATGAAAGCAAAAATTTTAGCAACTGTCTATAAAAGTTTTGCTTACAACAAAATTCCAGACGTTCGTTTAAAATAATTATGAAACAAAATTATTCATGTTTAGCTGATAGAAGCACAATGTAAATCTTTAAACCTCTCATCTAAAAAATGGGTATTTTGCAGATCTACACCAAAGTTGCAAAATAATTTTCAAGAAGATTGCAGAAAAAATATTAACGCATGATCATTTTTGTTTAAAATATACATTGACTTACAATTATATGGACGTCGGGTCCGCGCTAAAAAGTGTCCGAACTTATAGGGCGTTAAAATCGTATACAGAGCGTCATTCACGCTTTAGTCTTCGTTTGTTCGACTGACAGCGAAGCAAGCAAAATTAGACAGTACTGCGATAACATTACAATTTAAATTCTACGTTTTAGCTTTTTCATATTCCTTTACATGTCACTACGTTTAAATAGGTTGACTTGTGACATTTTTTTCGTGGTTTTTGTATTAGACCCGTCGTCCATTTATTTGTAAGTCAATGAAAATATATTATTAAAAAAGTTCTTTAAATTTCCATAACATAAATTTTACTCGCAAAATTACTACAATACATAAGAATATTTTTTTTTTAAATAGCATATTTATTTCAGAGTCAATGTATAATCAGAATCCATGTATTACAAGCGGTGCACGACGTAGTTGGTGACTTATTTACAAAACTTAAACTTCAGCATAAGCCTTTTCTTCCTCTGCTTCCCTCCTGAGCCTTTCCTCTTCCTCAGCCGCGAACCTAGCACCACGCTCGATCAGCTCCTCATCACTGGGGATCTCAACTGGTGCGTTGGCATCCTCCATGTTGACTTCAGTGCTCCAAGCACCAGGGCAATTGTACAGCCTGTTGATCCTCTGGTAGTCCCAGTTGGTGATGAATGATGATTGACCCATCTGGTTACCACCAGCCTGTAAGAAAAATATGTTTTAAAATCGATCAACGTCCACAAATCGTGCCGTCCAATTTATGCCACGACAGTTGATTAAATTGACGCGTGGTGTCTTCAAGAGTTGTATGTGTACTTACTTGACGGGCTACGATAGTAGGCTGGCCGTTGCTACTGAAGGCAGTTGGGCCGTAGTGCTGGTTGCTGGCGTATTCGTAAGGCAGACCCAACATGTTGGAGTAATGAGACGGCACCAAATTGAAGTTGTGCTGCATACCTGATATTTAGAGCATTTTATAGTGATAGATAATTACTGGATCTCAAGATAGGAAAGAACCTAGCCCATCGAGTATCAATGACCTAGCCCGACTAGAAGTATCAACGCCAAGGTCAAAAATCAGTAATTCCATAGGTAAAATAAACACTTGAAAACGTATTTTTTTAGGCTTCTGCTCATTTACTGCGTTGATTGCCTTGAGAAGAACATGCAAGAAACTGTAGGGGTTGCTCTTTTCAAATAAACTTAAATGCTATGGATCAAATTTGTATGGAATCTAGAGCAATATCGTCTTTCCATACATCTTTATCTAACACGTAGTCTTCATCTTTGTAATATGACTTTTATATAAAAATATTTTTAATGCAGGTTTGAAACTTATTTTAAAAACGTATACAGTAAGTACCCCATAAAATAATGAAGAATTAGTTTGGATTCAATTCTAAGATTAATATTATGGATATCTTCTTTCGTAATGAAATTTATATTTTGGTGGGCATACACAATAAATGTATCAGAGTAATGGAACTTAAATATGCAAATTCGTTAAATTCATTTTCATTACATGGACTTTAGTTGTTGTACAAACATTTTTTATTGTTCATATAATGTTGTTCATGGATATGGTAAACACTAACCGGATTGTACGTTGTGAAGATTGATGGTAACCCAGTCGTTCCTGACTTGAGCCTGGTGCATGTGGTTGAAACCAACATTGTGACCGAACTCGTGGAAAATGATGGTGGTATGCATGCAACCATTGCCCAAATTGTGTGTGTGAGCACCCATGTTCTGGTAGTACCCTACGTGGGCATAGCATCCGTTGTTTTGGTCCTTGAATAGTAAAGAATACGGTTTAACGTCTCGAATTAATTTCTTGAATAGGTATACTGCCTATACTATTGGCCTGAGTAAAAGGCTTCAAATCTCCTGTGTAGAGACTTCTTTGTGACATTGATCTGGCTAGCTTATTTATTTAGAAACACATTAAAACAAGAAATCTTTGTTTATTTGACAATAAGTAATAATATGCAGGTATGGTCCAATAAATACTAGAAATTAAAACTAGGATTAAATGATGTGAATAAAATTGGTTCCCCGTGTCAAGGTGCCAAAGATGTTGGTAGTGTTCCCCCCACAGACCACATAAATACTAGTAGTTCCCCCTTTGTATGGCTATGCTATTGCGTTGGGCAAAGTAGCTGCCGGCTGTTGAGTTTCCCAGACAGTCTATTAACTTTTTGGATGAATGAACAGATGAAGGTCACCGGGGTCCCACGGGTCATGGGTTTCGACACCAAAGTGTGCAAATAGATAGTCGGAACTGAGGTCCTGTTACTTATTACTCTTTATACTTTCCGCCAAGAAACAAGAAATTGATAAATATTTTAAGTCATTCAACGACTTCGTGAAGATTAGCATGTAGGCTTTAATAATGTTGAAGAAAATTATATTTATTTTAACCCATATGATTAGATTAATGTTGGTGGCAAAAGCGCTACGACATTGAAGACGGACCTGATAGGGATCTGTGGCTATTAAAAAACCATGTTGTATAATGGAAGAAGATGGAAAAAGAAAGGGTATAGCTTACTGTAATCCTGACGAAGTCGTTCTGGGAGCCGCGCTGGACGAATCTGACGCAAGTCCTGTCGTGGTACATGGTCATGACACCACGGATCTGGTTTTGGCCGTTAGCAGCTGGAATATCATTATTTGTATTAGATTCATATGTTTATTGAACCCGAAATATAAGATTTCTCAATAAGTAATTCTTTTCTAAGGTTGCTTGATGAGATCAATACCCTTTGTTGTTTTGCCATTCCGGCCTCCTATAGTCGTTATGTTTAGTCATCTTTTAGTTGTCCTTGTTAGGTCGATTTGTTTACAATTACAGTTTATATTTTTATGAAATTTGTTATCATCATTAATTCAAAGGTCTAACTGAACTCGAATCAGCATCTGTTGCCACACTGGGGCCACTGCTCTCACAGCAGAAGATCTTACGAATTTGTATGTTTGTTGCAGATCTTTGTACAGGATTTAAGTGGCTTATTAATATAAAGTTTCTTCAGTAAGCCATTGCCCTTTATTATTCCTCTCTCCCGTTCTTTGATTTAAAAAGTATTAGTAGATCTATACTCTATACTTACAGTGTCCAGCGAACTGGAAGATGACGTTTCTGCCAGGCCATAGACGGTTGCCGCTTGCAATACCGTTTCTTGGAGTAACATCGTCTCCGGCAAAAGCAGCAACCATGTCTTCAATATCCTCCTCAGTGAGGACGATATCACCCTGATATTTGCCGCTGTTCTCCCATGCGCTGTTCCATGGGTACTTCCTCATGTTCTCCTCAAAAGTGGAGGCATCTTTCTCTGCAAGATATTGAATAACTTAATAAGTAACACGGAAATACGACATGATTCTAAAAAGCCGCCGACACAGGGAGGTACTATACTCATGGCACTCGTTGACAAACATGTAGAAGTATGAATAAACCAGGTCTCAAATGTAACATTCAATTAATAAAATTCGTCTAAAACAAAACACAGTCCGTTTTTTTAACTCGTTCGGAATGTCTATAGAACTAATGTAATAAATATTCGGTTATACAAATAACTACTGTTAATAGTGGAACTGGAAGATTTTTAGCTACAAGAAATAAGTAACTTACCCGAATTTACATCTCGGAGGAATCGGCTGAACGATTCAATTTCGTCTTTGGATCTCGTTGGGAGGGAAAGGGAAGACCCAATCAGGCAAACCAGAGCAAGGAAGCGCAGCATTTTTACGGCAGACTTTGTCAAGTGACGATTACACTGCATCACAGGTCCTTTTATACTAATTGCACGGATTGGAAACAGATTAATGTCAAAATTAGCGATCCATCATAGATTTAATCTAGTTTTTTAAAGTTTATCTACTGGTTTTTTTGTAATGCAGTTGATAAAAGTTTGACTAGTTTTCTATTTGGAATTGGTTTGTGTAGTTTCGCTTTTTTCTTGCTAGGCATCTGATATTGTGAAATTCAGTAGAAGAAGAGCATCCTAAGAAGTACGCCCAGAAAAGTACTACCACCATGCGTATTTCGATTCCGATTTGGAAGGATAAGTGTGTTGGTGAGAAACTTCAGGTACATGGGACTTGGCAATATCACGTCTCTGAATGCCGGGCGCAGAAGACATGCTCTGCTTTACGATTTAATGCTCTGAATGATTCTCCATCTGTCATAGATAGTCGTCGCTTAGCAACACTACCGTATCAAACCAAAACACTGCAAGACCCAGTACAATCTTTTGTAATTCTCTTATAACAAGACTCCTGTCGGCTGCTATCAATGCAAACAAATTTATTTTGCAAAATGCATTTGTAGCGGCTAGATAGAATTTAATATCGAATGTACATAGTAAATTGCATGTATCTTTTTCTAAAAAGTTACGAACAACGAATAAATCTTTGTTACAGCCAATTCTTAAAATGATTTTTGAGATACAATATATTGATTTGACACGGTAGAATTTAGGCGTAGGTACGACCAACTCGTCCCGTCCGTCACTTGATTTTTAAACACAAAAACTTTTTCTCCAACTGAGAATTCGAGTCTATTACAGCAACAGTTTCAGGAGCCAACATTATCTTGTGCATTTGTGCCATCTTGCAACAGCTACAAGTCACCCAACGAGGTGTGGCAGAAGCTATGTTGGGTATACCACACTAATACGATTTGTGTTTCTTGGTTATCAATGTTACCTTATTTAGCTTTTATTAGACAATAAGTTGGAACAAAAGCTAATACTATATGGAAACTAAAACTAGTACTAAATTATATAAATAAAATTGGTGCCCCGCGGCATGGTGCCCAAGATGCTGGCAAAGTTCCCTCTTAGTATAACTATGCTAATGCGTTGGGCAAGGTAGCTGCCGGCCCTTGGGTTTCCCAGGGACCCCACGGCTGTAAATAGGCAGTCGGAGTCGGGGATCCTGGTACCTATTACTTTTTCAGCTCAGCTACGGAACCAGCCCTCTTTCTGGTGTGCTGGAGATGGGATGGCGCAAGTGTGTCGACATGGTGTCCCACACCAGTTGCCCGGTTCATATACTCCAAGGGATGAGAGTCATTCCGTCCGGGTGTTTGCCATCAGTTCGCTATATGCAACATTTTATAATTGGATTTATTATAAAAAAAAAATTAAAAAACTTTATTTCTCTGCAAGGAAGCGGTACGTGAATAAGCGACTTTACGTTGTGACACAACAGTCCTCGCGTGGTGCTCGGTGCATTGAAATTATAGCGTTGCGTCGAAGCAACGCTGCAATACCCCGGCAACGCCAGTGTGGCATTGCTCTTATTTAAGACCAAATATCGCCACAATAAGAAAAATATTAATTTTTTTTTAAGAAAAATAAAAAAGAACACTGATTTTGAATTTCTATTGAATTGATATTCAATTATTTTTTGTGAAGTTACTCCACTACTTTGTTATAATTATTAATACAAAGATCGGACACTATGAAAAAATTTCTTCGATCCGGCCGGATTCGAACCGACGTCTTCTTGTTTACTGTGACAGACGCTGAGTGTTCGATCTTTGTATTAATAATAATAACACTGCTTTGTTAGGGAAATTAACATTCTGCCAAATGATATGTAGATATTATTAAATCAAAATCGAAAATAGACAGATTGTAAACAGACCACCTATACAGATTGCACGATCATATGTATATTAAACATGATTTTATCATCATTAAACTTCTATAATTACTTGAGTTTTTTTATGCTACGATAATGATAAATATTCAAGGGCGATATTCGCGAATCACATATAATTTTACCTAAACATATTATATCGAGCAAAACGACTTAAATTTAATATTATGAGACCTTAAATGTGTGTTTAAATGTGTGTTTTAAATGTGAGTTTGGGTGTAATTTGTGGTTGTCTATGTGTGTGTCCATGGCACCCGCGACACAGAGTTTCCCTAGTGCGGGGCTATGTTGAGTGTGTGTGTGAGTGTGTGTGTGTTAAATAAATAAGAAATTTAATATTCAAATGAGTAGAAGGTAATTAAAAAACAGCAGTCTTTGTGAAAAAGACCGTTCAGGGAATACTGCCATAATGTCTATTTCTGTCGCCAAGCAATAATATGACTGTGTTTCATTTTTGAAATTCATTTTCATTTTAGAAGAGACTTGTCAACTTTATGTATTGGGGTGGCAAATGCAGCGTATTGCCATTATAATCTTCGCGATTTAAAGCTCTGAGTGGCTCTTCAACTGTCCACCCACGACGTACCTACCATTCCTTTGTCGTACGTCAGGCGCTGGGCAATCTGCGAGTACCTTACGCCGATTTGGCAAGTTCTTTCACACGATGGGAAACATTATAAGGTAATGCCGTCGATGCAATAAGAAGAGGAAAGAATTATTATAAAAACTTTTTATTCTTTAGTCTTAGTTTAGTTTGTCACTTGTATGAAAACAGAATATTCCGATTTTATTCAAAAGTTTTTTAGACCCGTTTGCGCAACGACTAAACTTCATTGTCTGTCTGTCGGTTTTCTGCAGAGTATACGTCGGTGAGTGCGCCCATGAGCTCCACCAACTCGTCCCGCCCGCCTCCTTTTACCATCGGACATGCAGACGTGTGGCGGAATATTATTCTGGAATACTAAGCGTTTTCATTATGTCATCTTTTATTATGAACGTGTTTCTGTGTTTAAGGTGCGTCTGAATAGGCATCTTCTGGGCGAGTTCATTCCATAGTAGATCCTGTCTTTGCTCCAGGCCTAGGTAGTGATCAGGAACATCTTCCCTTTACCTTAGAAAAAAGAGCTTCTTGGACATCCTAGCACATCTGGAACCCAATTATATTCATTTAATTAATTTTTTAAGCTTTTATTACATGTTTATGACATGCTTGTCTAATAAGGCACCACATAATCACTATTACATAATTATTATTAAAAGTTAAATATTACAAAAGCCTAAACAAATTCGAAATTAACAGTTGTTTATTATCATAATTACGATCAATAAGTACATGCAAACTTAATATATTACTAAATATTTATAGTATCGACAAGATAATCGCTATAGATTTAATTACAAATAAATCTGTCAAAACAATCACACATACTGCGTAAGCGCAAATTACTTAAGTCTGTTTATCGAACAGATTTAATCACGTGATTTATAAATACGCGTTGGCACCTGCTTTATTAAGATATTTTATTTAATATATAATTTTAATCGAGTTCTTAGGTTTTCGCGATTGTTACACATAGGAAATGAAACTATTTTTCCGGATTTAAATCGCGTATATTTGTTTTTTCAAACAAACCGACGTTTCGGGCCCTTTACAGGTCCCATGGTCACGGTTGACTGAGGTGGTACAGTCTTCAACCAGTTATGTCTAATATTGAGGCAAACCACCCTATTTTTTCACTATAGTTACAATAGTTATTAATTAAATACCTTATTTTTAATTTTACAAAGAAAACATTCCAATTTACGCTATATTAAGTTTTACAAATTATTTTATTGAATGAATTTTAATTAAGTTAAATTTATTATTAATTATTAATAGAAATTAGAATAAACTAAAACATATTAATTAGTACTGCAGTCTTATGTCTGTTTGGGATTTTTCATTAGAGGAAATACTGGATCCCAAACTGGTGGTACGGAGAAACCATCTTCCCTGTTGAAATTAGGATGTTTTTTAATTTCAGTGGCCTCTCGCAGCATCTCTCTTGGATGACTCTCAGACGCTACTCGTAGAGTGACTCCGACACGTCCGAGTGCACTCGGATCACGTGCTTACACGCTACTAGTGTTGAGTTACTCGTATACGAGGCAACTCGTTAGTACCACTCGCTTAGTTAGTTTGTCACTTCATGTCGTAAAATTGTCCCATCTCACACCTCACCTCATGTCATAGCGTCATGTCATAGTCTCACTCATGTCACTGCTTCGAATTCAATAAATGCAACAAGCTTTTGACATCATATGATGATACTAACACAGTACTAAATAAAATTAACATTTATTTATACTATATCATCATACTTATATTATAAATGACTTGGAAACCGCATGTTGCTGAGGTTAGCAAGAAGGTGTTTGGTGCGCATTTTTCTCTAAGAAGGCTTAAAAACTTTTTAGAAAGAAAAGAAAGAAAAATTGTTTATTAGCGTCATAATTATGCCATATTACAATTTACAAATTTTACATTCTCAGCATTAGTCGAGGCACTTAGCAACACCCCAACCCTGGTCTTCCGGAGACACCGGCCAGTTAGGAAGTACCGCTACGCGCTGCAACGACACGCCGAACCATATAATATATGGTGACAAGTACGAACTGAATATAATGTAATAAAATACTTAACAGTTACATGGTAAAAATATTAAATTAAATGTTCATTGGTATTGCAGGGTAATGTAATATTAATAGAGTAAATTATAGGAACCCACTAAGTAAATGCCAATATAGCATCTATACAACACAGCACAGGCTAAGTTAGTTTCTGTTGATTCAAAAGATACTGTTTACATCTAAATTTAAAAGATTTTACAGTGTAACAATTTCTAAAAGGTGGTGGAATATTATTCCAACATTTCCAACATTTTTAGTATTCTCCATCCGATACTGGACTATGCCGATGTTTGGTACCCGGATATGTCAATTGTGCTCAATAAATTGGAGCGGCGCAGGTCCAAAATATGTGTGTTAGGTTCATCTTCGGACTTCGTAACCATGTCTCCCAATTTCGCGCACAACTTCAATGGCTGCCCATCCACCGGCGTAGAGATCTTCATGTCCT